ATGTACTGATTCTTGGATTAAACTGCAGGAAGTTTTATTTTATCTGGGTGGGGAGAATCCTTCCGGCGGACAAAAATGCTGTGTGATGGCTAAGTAAACCTTCGGTGCTTGCAGTAAGGTCTATTTATTGGTTTGTTAACTAATACATAGACAATCACTTGGCTGGTGAGCCTGACTCACGTCTCTGGGATGAACTTGGGGTGGTGTTGGTAACAAGCCATTGCTTTTAATCCCCACTGGGGGGGAAGGGCACAGTGAGGGGAGCTATTCATTGTGAAATGACTTGATGACCCAGGTTGACTACTTCCTGAAGTAAAGTCCTTCTTGTCTCTGTGCAAAATCCAAAGTATGCCTAATTTTGTAATATTGATAGAATCATGTTGTAACTAGAAAGAATGTAGCTGTCATAACTTCATGTTGATGGAAATGTCTGCACTGGGGGAAATGTGCCTTGGACTGTCTGGGGCACCCTTGTGGTCTTGTCTACTCAGAACTCCACTCTTGATCTGAAAGGAGAATGTTTTGGGTTTGTTTTCTTTTGTTTTCCAAGCATGAGTCTAATGTGAACCTGTTCACAGTCTGTTGTGGAGCAAGATATGTTCCTGTCATAACTGCAATGGCTCAAATACCATTTATTTTTTTCAAACATTAAAGGTGAATTGACACATTTCAACAGCCTCTAGTTTCTTCATTGCTAGCTGTCCAGAGCAAAAAAAAAATCGCATTTGTCCAGAGTAAGTGAGCTGCAAGTTCTGTGGCCTGGAAGATGCTGCTGATCCAATGGAGGCAGGTTCATAGAGGGGGAGAAATTCAACCTGAACAGCATATTATGTCCCATCTGTGCTGGTGCTGACTTCCAGCTTGGCTCAAACTCCAAACCAGAAGGAAGGATCCTGGGGTGAGTGTTATCCTGCTGCAGCCCTGATGGGATGGTTTTGTGCTGAGTAACCTAGATATGAAGGCATTAGGGCTAGCCTCTTAATGACTTCACACAAACTCCTAGTAGTATAGCAGCTAAGGTCATGGCTCCTTCACATGCTCAAAGGTCTTTCTTGCTTTGCAGGAAAGTAGATTGCCCCTTCGTGCTTCCTCCCTCAGCTTGGTTTAAAAAGGTGAGATCTGAGACACTGTTCCTAGCTGCTTGGAGCTGGTATGTTTAATTTCCCCCACATACACACCTGCCCCAGGGGAGGTGGGCTTATCCTTAAAAACAAATCAACCCCCTTAGGTCTCTAACTTGCTCTTGACACAACTTAACTGTGGGTTTGTAGTCTTCCTGATTTTTTTTTTTTTTTTTTGGAAAAGCTGCTGTGGGCTCTTAACTGTGGTAGTGCAATGACCATGCTGTAGGTAACACCTCAGCATGGGAAATAAGAGGGAACTGAGCTTTAGACAAAAGTCTGAGAAGCTCAAGTAGCTATAAAATTAGCTGACTCTCAAATAAGTAGTACTATGGTTTTGTTGCATGCAGCCAATCTGTCTAACTTGCACCTTACAATGTTAAAAAGCAGAGGTGGTTTCTACTTTGGGGGGAGCTGGGAGTGACACTCCTCCTCCACTCCTCCCTAAATAGTCCCAGCAAGCCTTTTGGCTGGAAGTGTAGTTGCATGGCTTAAGATGCAGCCGTGCTGCACTGAGGCTCTGCATTCCTGGCATGGCTAGGTCTGATTTAACACTGCTGCTCCTAGGGAAACCCTTGCAGCCTGTCTGGAGTAGTTAAGCCTTTCTGGTGCACAGTGGGTCTTGCTCGAAGCAGGTAAAAACTGGCTACAAATGTCAGCTGGAGCACAGGAGGCTGCTAATCCAAAGTAGAGATGAAAAAAATTTTTCTTCTGTTAGTTCCATATGTGGGAAACCACCCATTTTGACCACTGTATAGTTGTATCCAGTGATTCTAGCGCTAGTGTAAATCTGTTCAGAGCAGGGAGCGGAGAACCTGCTGGTGGCTGGAGGGACTGCATTCCCTGCAACCGTTTCATGCAAGTAGAAAGTAGGTTTGTTGCTTCCCTGGCTGTGTCATTGCAACAGAAGTCCCTCCTTCAGGCTAGAGAAAAAAAGACTAGCTCACACCTTTAGCAATTAGGCAGTGAAACTGAGCCCTGCTCACCCTCTGTGTAACCCATGCAACGGACACCAGTCCTCTGTGTCCTGAGCCATCCTTTTAAATGATTTATTGTGTAGCGCTGGCGTTCCAGAGGTTCCAAACTGCCTGAAGTTAAGCAGCAGTTCCCTCTACGTGGCTGTGAACAGGGTGAGGCTTTACAAGGAGCTTTCTGTCCCTGCTGCCTTCCCAGAGTGCTCCCCAGCAGCTGTCTGACAGTTTTTGGCTTTGACTTTTTCCATTGCCAGGCTCTGCTTTTGTCTCTGATTTCCACCACATGCAGGTGTTCTGCATTAGGACTTGGAATGTTAACTGTTTCCCTGCTGAAGAGGTTGACAGTGTCCCTAGGATTGCTGCTCAGTTTCAATGGGAGCACAAAACTATTTTGAAACATCTGGACCTGGCGTACTGAATGGAAGGTATGTATCTGGGAGAAACAACTGAAGAGAGAAACTGCTTCCAGATGTTTTTAGGCAAAAGTGCTATTTAAATGTAAATTCAATATACTGTTGTTCTCCTGCTTTACCAGCATTCTGAAAATGTTTAATTGAAGCAAAGTCCAAGATACTGGCTGCTGTTTGTGAATGGGGGTTTAGATGCAGGATGGTGTTTAGAGATGCGCATGTTCATTTGCTATGATTAACAGTGCAGTTCATGGTTGGGCGGAATATTACATTATTTTCTTTTCCATGCCAAGTTATTCAATTCTTCATGTAGAACATTTCTTCCAGATGTGCTGTAAAAAGCAAAGTTTTGTGAAACTGGAGTATGTATATAGGCTGGTTTTTGGTGGCTTTGCTACTTGTGTGCAATTGTTAGTCATTATCTAGGGTTCCTTCTTCTGCCGAGGGAACGTGGAGTAAAGCAGTGGGAGAAGATGTGTTTGTCTATTTGCCAGCTTGCGCTCTGCCCCACTGGCATGATATTCTTTCTCCTCCGTGGCTACCTGTGGCTTAGGGAAGGGACACAGTGACTGCCAGATCCTCCTGACGCTGGGCAATGCTGAACGTGAGCTGGGCACTACAGCCTTGAGAGCACCAAGGCTTCATGTCAGTGCTCCCCCTTACTTCTGTGCAGCAAAGTAGCTGTGTGGCACTGCCATTTGCGGTGTTTCGCATCTTTTCCAAGCATGTGGAAGGAGTGCTCGTCTCTGGTAGACCCAGTACCCAAAGGACATGTTCCTTTTCACAGGGTTTTTGCAGGAGATTCGAGATGAAAAGGGGAAACATGGAAAGCATTTTTATCTTGCTTTCAGCCTCTGACTGGTAAATCCTTTGGAAGCCAGTGCCACTTTGTGAAGGAAGCAGGGCTGTACTGTCCCTGCCCACCTGAGGTTTCCCTGGTCTTTGTTCTATTTATTGAGCAAAGATGCTGACACCTTTACCCAGACTGTGACTCATAGCAACAATGTCTATGTATAACCCGTGGTTCTCAGAGCACTTTATAGATACAGGAGCAGAGGAGCCAACTGTGTTTATAAAAAGATGATCAGATGTTTCCTCCCTTAGGGCAGTGTCTAGCTGAGGCTGAGTAATAACTCATTACCAATGAGACAAATAACTGCTTATCATCAGGTCAGTGGCTTCATCAGCCCATCCAGTTAGTGACCCCAAACACCATGCTTATCTGAGGGCTGCCCTGCATGAACACCCGTGGTCTCAGGAGTGGTCTCTCAGCGTCAAGCCCGGGAAGGGTAGCAGGGGAGCGCCTCGCCTCTCCTCCGCAAAAGTCCTTTGTTACAGAGCACAACAAAGCAGAGCGGGGAATTACAGTGAAGCTGCCTGTTGCCGTGCTGGAGACCTGGGGTCTGGATTTCTTCAGCACAGTTAAATGTTGTTGCTCTATAATAGAGGGAGCGGAGGAGCATGGGGATTGCTATAAAGGCAGAACACAGTCTAGACTATGTCTCAAAATGTCTGTCAGGCCCACAGCAACCCCTGTGTCCGGATTGCCCTGGGCAGCCTCTAGATGGATTTTGCTTGTTTTTTTTTTTTTTTTTAGCATCTAGCTGCTTCTTTTGTGTGTTAAACTGCCTCAGACCCCCTTCTTCTTGAACCTGGAGGGACCAGCCTGGGAAGGATCATTGTTGATGTCTGCTGCCAGCTGCTGCCGCAGATATGGACTTGCTGGGCTCCTGCTCTGGTCCCCTGGCCCTTTCCTTGCAGGAAGCTGGCAGCCAGCCTTGGTAGGTGCAACTCCTGGGAAGGCAACACCAGGCTCTGCTGCACTGCTTGGCAAGATTTGACCCTGGATTAAGCTCAAGGAACAGTTTTATCAGGCCCTGGTGTAGCTCGTTCTCTCTTGTCTATGGAAGGAGGCTGTTTTAGTGGCTTTATGCTCCTTGTCTTTCTGTCCTTAAAGCAGAGGCACCAGAGCTCTCTGTGGCCTGGTAGAAAAATCTATAATGGGTCAGCACAGCGTGTCGCAAAGGCAATCTGAGAGCACCGTAGGGGCTGTGGGTGCCTGGTGGGAAGAGTAACGCTTTATGACGTGCCCCATCTCAGCATGGTGCTGTCCCTCTCTGCCCAGCTGGCAGTGAAGCAGCCTTTGCTCACAGGTCTCCCTCGAGGACTGGTGCTTTGGAGCAGGTGCTGAGGGGCAGTGGAGAGCAGGGCCAGCTCCCATTCTCTGGCCGCAGCAGGCCTCGCTGGACCTGGGGCTGGGACCCTCATGGGCCTTGTCAGAGGCTTTCATCAGCCAGCTCCCACTCAGACGCGATCCTCTGGCCTGACTGCCCCAGCCCTGCCTGATGCGAAGCAATCTTTCCATTTCCTTTGTTCCCTTCCTTGCTGGCAGGTCTCTGCTGATTTACAGGCATTGCTCAGCAGTTTGACCGCAGCTCACCTGCTTGCCCA